ATCCTGATGAAAAATGCTGGCAAAATGAGAAGAGCTAAAACAGCCAAGCTGAGTATGTATGGTCAAAGGAATGCTAATTGCCTTCACACCCATGAGCATTTTCCTTCTATGCCTCACGACCACACAGTACAATAACGATCATGTGTATCGTCACAATGGACAGCAGATCAGCTATTGCAAGTTTATGGTCATTTATCACACACGTTTCCCCAGCACCTCTAAGGAGCCTATGTGGTGTTGACTGGCTTGTCTCAGGGGATGCGCTGCCTGGGCAAGAAGATGCCTGTAGCCAGGACGCTGCCTCCAGGCTTCCCACCAGGACTTGTTACCTTAGAACACCAAGTGCACACACACACACACACACACACACACCATGCTTCCTTTGCTGTTCCTGGAGCAAGGAGTCTTCTCACACCTAAGTTTGCAGGACACAAGTCATGTTCTTCATGGGCAAAAGGCTGTGTCTTTGTTTTATGAGCATCTAGCATTGCACACACCAAGGAGACATCCAAGGTCAGAATAGAATCCCCATCATGCCAGGTAGGAGGCTGGGCTACCAGGTGGTTAAGACCAGGAGTCTAGGAGCTTGGCTGACCTGATTCCAGTCCTGTGCCTTCACCAGGCATGGGGTTAGGGTGGAGCAGGTGAGGGGCCTCTCTGGCCTCCGCCTCCTGCCTCCCCCTACTCTCAACCCACCCACCACTTCCGGCTGTGTGACTTCAGGCAAGTAGCTCCACCTCTCTGAGCCTCACTGGGGATGATACCTATTCTATAAGATTGGGGGGGATTAAATAAGATAAAACCTGCTTCTTAATAGTCTCAGTAAATTGTGATTCTTTTCCTAAATTTGGCATTAGGCAGAATGGCCACCAGAGGGCAGCGGTCCCCATGCTGGGAAAGTAACCTGCCTGGTAATCAGTGATTCCCTTGGAAGGAACACACACACACACACACACACACACACACACACACAAGCACGTGCGAGTGTGTGTGTGTGTGTGTGTGTGTGTGTGTGCATGCACCAGGAGAGTTGTGTGCCTTGATTGGGTCAACACAGCCACCAGCCAACAGATACACTGGCATTGTGCCGGTCACTCGTGGCTGTGGTCAGTTGAGGATTGGCATGAGCCTGACACCAGTGAATTGAGATTTACTGGGACACTCTATTCTACTCTCCCAGGATTGATGGAAGGATCAAAAGGCAAAATGTATGAATTCACATAACAAAACACCATTGTCACGCTGCTGAGCCCCGTTAGAAACTCTCCTTTCAAACCCCCTGGGAGGTCTGGTCTCCGGGCTGTAATCCAGAACACTTCAGGTACTCCAACACCCCTGTTGCAGACACACACCTGCCAGGCCGTGAGCATCCGTGGAAAGAGGAAGTCAACTCTTTTTTTTTTTTTTAAGATTTTATTTATTTATTTGACAGAGAGAGACACAGAGAGAGAGGGAACACAAGCGGGGGGGGGGCCGGTGGGAGGAAGGGAGAAGCAGGCTTCCCGCGGAGCAGGGAGCCAGATGCGGGGCTCGATCCCAGGACCCTGGGATCATGACCTGAACCGAAGGCAGACGCTTAACGACTGAGCCACCCAGGCGCCCCAAGATCTCATAGTTTTTTTAAGATTTTTATTTTTAAGTAACATCTACCCCCGACGTGGGGCTTGAACTGACAACCCTGAGATTGAGTGTTGCACGCTCTACCAACTGGGCCAGCAGGCACCCCAATATCTCATGGCTTTGACTTGCATTTCCCTGATGGGAGGCTAATGTTGCTCCACATCCTTTCATGTGCTTATTGGCCATTTGTATATCTTCTTTGGAGAAATCTTTATTCATATCCTTTGACCACTTTTTTTTGGGTTATTTATATTCTTATCATTGAATGGCCTTTTCATTTACTTGGGTGTTCTTTAATTTCTTCCAACAATGCTTTATAGTTTTCAGAATATAAGTTTTGCACTTCTCTTGTTAACCTTATTCTTAACTATTTTATTATATTTGATGCTACTGTAAATTAAATTTACTTCATTTTTTGCATTGTTCATTGCTAGTGCATAGAAATACAACTGATTGCTGTATGTTGGTTTTGTATCCTACAACCTTACTAAACTCATTTATTAGTTTTACATTTTTTAATGGATTCCTTAGGATTTTCTATATACAAGATCATGTTACCTGCAAATACAGTTAGTTTTTCTTATTTCCCATCTGCATACCTTTTATTTAATTTTCTTGCCTAATTGCCCTGGTAAGAACCTCCAGTACAATGTTGAATAGAAAAGGAGGGAGTAGACATCCTTATCTTGTTTCTGATCTAGGTGCAAAAGCATTCAGTATTTCACAATTAAGCATGATGTTAGTTGAGGGTTTTTCATAGATGCCCTTTATCAGGTTGAGAAAATTCCCTTCTATCCCTAGTTTGTTGAGGTTTTGTAAGTTTTTCATTTTAACTCCAGCATAGTCAGCATATGGTGTTATATTAGTTTCAGGTGTGTGAGGGTTTTTTTTTCTCTTAAATCATGAAGTGGTGTTGAATTTTGTTAAATGTTTTTTTTTCTGCATCTGTTGAGATGATCATGTGGTTTTTATCCTTCATTCTACTGATATGGTACATTACATTAGTTGGTTTTCAGATTTTTTAAAAGATTTTATTTATTTGAGAGAGAGAGAGAGAGAGAGAGAGCATGAGCAGGGGGGAGGGACAGAGGGAGAAGCAGGCTCCCCACTGAGCAGGGACACTTACGCTGCTCCATCCCAGGACCCTGGAATCATGACCTGAGCCAAAGGCAGACGCTTAACTGACTGACCCACCCAGGTGTCCCTGATTTTTAGATTTTAGACCAACTTTGCATTTCTGGGATAAATCCTATGGCATATAGTCCTTTTTATTTATATGTTACTGGATTTGGCTTGCTAGTATTTTGTTGAGGATTTTTGCAACTCTATTCAGAAGAGCCAGCTGATGGATATTTAGATGTTTCCAGTTTGGGGCTATTATGAATAATGCTGCTATGAACACTCATGTGCAAGTCTTGTCTTTGCATGGACATGTTTTCATTTCTTTTGAGTAGACACCTACGGGTGGAATTCCTGGGTCCTATGGTAGTGTTATCTGTTTTAAGATTTATTAATTTATTTGAAAGACACAGAGAGAGCGAGAGAGAGAGAGAGCAGGGGGAGGGGCAGAGGGAGGAGAGAATCTCAAGCAGACTCCCTGCTGAGCACAGAGCTGGACATGGGGCTTGATCCCCTGAGATCATGACTTGAACCAAAATCAAGAGTCGGACGCTTAACTGACTGAGCCCCCCAGGCGCCCTGGTAGTTTTATCTTTTTTAGGAACTGACAAAATGCTTTCCAAGTGGCGATAGCCTTTTACATTCCCAGCAGCTAAGTATGAGGGTTACCTGAGAATTCATTTAAACTGTTTCTTTCTCTATAAAGTGGTGGTAATAATAACACTGACTTCATAAAGTCAGGGAGTTTATGATGTGTGACGGCTTTAGCAAGGCACTGGGCCCAGACACCATAAAGCTCAATACATGACATCTCTTTTATGTTCCCTTGTCTTCACTAATGTCCCAAGCTTCAGACCTGGCTTAACTTAGCTGGATGAGATTGTCTTCGTGCTTTCCACGTAAACTGACTTCTTGGTGTCAAGTTCCACACCCTTCTCATTAGTCATAGTCTCCTAATGGTCTAACAGGATCCTCCAACCTAGTCCCCCTCTCCCACTGCCCTCAGGGTTTGTGTCCCAACCTCTTTGGCTCAGGGGGCTTTCCTAGGGCAAGAGCTCCAAACTGGCAGATTTGGGGCAAACAGACAGTGCTCCATGAACCGCTCCTCTCTGCTGAACGACAGGACAGAACATATTCATTGCTCTGCTTGGAAGGGACGTCTCCCGTCCCCCGTATGCCCTAACTCTAGGTGACTCCTGTTTATCCTTTAAGTCATAGTTTGGGCATCACCTCCTCCAGGAAGCCTTCCCTAACAACCACGCTCCCCCTCCCATAATGTATGTTACTGCAACTACCACGTTATTTGTAATTGTATTTTTATATGTCTATGTCTTATGAACATCCTAAGGATGGGGACTGTTTTTATTTACTTCTATCTCCTCAGTGCCTAACACATAGTAGGTATTCAATAACCCATAAATAACCATATCTGTGTACAAAATATTAAGGGTTACATGTTAGTATCTAAGTAAACTCTATAAAAAAAGGCTCTTGAACAGGGTCTTAAGGAATAAGCAGGCACCTACTCCGACAAAATGGAGGGAAGGGCATGCTGGGTGAAGTGAACAGTATGTATAAAGGCCCCACAGAGGAAAAACATATTTTCAGGAACTAAGAAGTCCAGTGTGGCTATGGGTGGTGGGATGGAGTGGCCAGTGAGCCTGGAGAGGTAAGGTAAGGCACTAGTCATGTTGTAAATTGACTTTTATGCCAATTGAAGGGGCCAGAGGGCAGAGAGGAGCCGTCCATTAAACAGGAGAGACACGATCAGAACTGCATTTTCGAAGGAACTCTGGGGTGGTGGGGGGTATGAGTACCCAAACTTCAGCTGCAGTAGAATCTCCTGAAGGGCTCATTAAGCCACAGATTGTGGGTCCCGCCCTGAGTTTCAGAAGGTCTGGGGCAGAGCCTGAGAATATGCATTTCTCACACGTTCCTGGGTAATGCTGGTCTGAGGACCCCACTTTGAGAACCACTGATACAACGGATGCAATGGAGAAGAATGGGTCGCAAGCTCTCCAAACCATCTAGCTGAGAGGTGATGGAGACAGAGCAGGGGAGGCGCTCACATTTTCGATCCAGGTGCCGTGCTGCGAACTTTTCAGTGTCTTAGTGGTGGGATTTCAGGCTTGGTAATAAGCCAGTGTGGGAAAGGGAGGCTGTTTCTGGGGAGAAATCAGCCAGGTGGTCAGGATAGTCCCCACCTTTGACCTGGGAGGACCAGACCCCCACTTGGTAATGACCTTCAGAAAGCACAAGAATCAAGGTGTCCAGAGTTGTCATTTAATGCCCGATTATCACAACACAAGGAGGTTTACACGGTGCTCATCAAGGCAGGACCTGGGGCAAAACCAGACCAGAGGGAAGTGACCTGTATAGGGTCCTGGCACAGGGACCAGGTGCCCTTGGGCCTAATCACCCTCGAGACACATCTGCCATACACAAGGCTTCTTCCCTCATCCAGGAGCCTGCAGGCTGGCTGGGCTTCTGGTCACCAAGGGTCCTTGTGGGAGAACAGGGTCCCAGGATGAGGTGGGGACCGTGGACACAATGATGAGAACCAGACAGCTGTTTGCAAACAACCCCAAAAGGCTTTCACTTCAAATGCACTAAAGCCACACGACGCTCAGATGTAGGAACACCCAAACGCTTTTACTAGGAACTAAACACTGCAAAACTGGGGCTGAGGACACTCGGGGAGGGAAAGTCAAGCAAAACCCTCCCAGAACCAGCTTTCTGAGCTTCACCGTCCTCCTCGTCCTCCCACAGGGACACCAGTCCAACCACAGCATTGCTGCAGAGAAAGGGCACCACACTGGTCTAGCGAACACTTTTCATGGGAAGGGACATGGGAGCATGGCCCTGGTTTTAAGAAATCTCTCCGAACCTCCAACTCTACTGCACAACTTAATGCTACTGAGTTCCCTGGAGCCCCCAAGCCTCTGGTGCCCCGGGGGACACGGGTGACTTGGGGGCCGCTGGTGGGCTGGGAAATGTCCTGGCAGAAATAACGTACCTCAGAAAGAAAAGTGGCTTTTCTTCCACCCTAGTTCTAAAGTTTACACGGCCCCTAAAGGAAATACCATCCAAAAGGCATTCTTAAAGCACTTGATGGAACTCTTGAGATGTTTCAAGTTGTCACTGGCAAGAAAAAGAGGTGTGAGCTTGTCACTCCTCTGCCCCCAGCCTGAGGCTTGGCCTGGGCAGTCCAGCCCCAGGGCCAGGCAGGGTCTGGAGGGGATAGCACAGAAGAGGGTCAGCCTGCTCAGGGTACAGGCCATGGACCCAAGAGGCAGCCCCTCTGTCCAGCACTGTGGCCCTGCATTTGGGGAAGGAGCTTGAACTCTGGCCAGATTTTACTCTTAAACCCATTCCCGGTGAGTCCTGCAGGCCTCTTCTCCCTTTTCTCTGATTTGATTCTGGGAGAAAACTCTAGACAGAACCAAAGGCATGGAAGTCAAACATCTCTGTCTTCAGAGATGGGACACGGCTAAATGGCAGCCCAGAGACCTCAGAACAGCAAGGCCATCTTGGCCCCACATGCCCCCAACCAGATTCCATGCAACATTCCTGTCCCCTGCCCAAGGGCCAAGGTAGTCCCTTGACCCTAGACATAGTGGGCTTCCAAATAGGCTTCTGATGAGACCCCTGTAAGTGTCTGGGGAGAGGAGACCAAAAGCATCTCCGTAAAGCATACAAAATTTGCCCTGTTTCCAGAGCTGGGCACCTGTTCCTGAGAGGGCACAGTTAGGGCCCCGGGAAGTTGTGAAAATGACAAGGCACAACTGTCTCCATGTGGGCATTAGCTCACATCAGACCCCACCCCCAAAGAAGCCCACCTCCCCAGCTTTAGGGCAGCTCAGGAGCCATCCCATGAGGCCAACTTCATATTTAAAACCAACTTAATGCTACAAACTTAAAAAAAAAAAAAAAGTGCTGCCCAGCTGAGCCCCTGAGGAAACCTAGCTCCCTGAGGGTGGGTGGTGGGCCTCTTAGACCACCATCCCTGGCTGCCTCTCTCCAGAGGGCACAGTCTCGCGGCGGCCCAGAGTAGCCCCGCCCCAGGTTGGGCGGGGAGGAGAGCTGACCCCCTCCCCCACACCCAAGTGGGCTTCAGAGACACTGTGGGATGGTCAAGTCTCTGTGGGGGAGGGCAACAGACTTTCTCAGGACCCTAAGCCTGAGGAGGTGACATAAGCCCATCTCCCCATCAGCTGCCAAGGTCTGGTCTGCAATGAAGATTCCTCCCTGTCAGCCCTTCCGCACTCCCGTGACAAAAGGAGCCAAAATGCCACCAAGTCCTGGTCACCTCTGTCCTGGGGTGGTGGGGTTGGGGGGAGGTCTGTGTGAGAGCTGCTGGGGGGAGAGGAGATCCTTAAAGAATTACTCCCTTCAATAAACAAAAAATCCTTCCAGGGAAGGGGAGGATGATACCAGCAGTTAACAGAAGGGGTGCTTTCTGGCAGTTTCTCGCTTTAATCCCACCTGTCTCTATTCGGGGGCCTCCACTCCCTCCCAGGTGCTCAGTGTAAGACAGCCCCTGTCCCAAGCAAGTGTCACAAATGGAGGAAAGGTGCCCTAGACAGCCCTTATAACTGCTTCCACATTCCTATCCCTGTTCCCCCCGGGCGGGGTAGGGAGGGGTTCAGTGCTGACTCCCTGGAGGGTCGTTTTTCATGTTCTAAGGGGACGGAGAGGTAGGGAATTCCATAGAAGTGGGTCTCCACACCTGGAGCCTCAGTGCCACCTCCCCTGGAATGGAGCTCCCTGCAACCATCTCTGGACAGAGGAGACCAGGAATTCAAGGCTGGCACCTCGGCTGGAGATGAAAAGCAGGAGAAGCCAAAGGGCCTGCAGCCACCACTTACTAGAATTACGAGGCCGAAGTGCAAGTAGCGTTCTAGCAGACTGGACGGCCCCCCAGAGACCCGGCCCACTGCTACGGGAAAATCGGGGACCTGGCCTGCCCTCGGACCATGGACAGCACTGGGCCCGTCTGAGAAGCCTTACTAGAAACTAGAACGATCTCCCTGCTAAAAACTCAGGGAAGACAAACAAACAAAACTCAACCTGAAATAAATACAAAGGCATTAAGTGCTTCTTGATAAACTCAGGGTCCTAATTCCCCCCTGAAAGGCAGGGGCAGGGCCTTTCCCTGGACCTGGTTGCCTCACCTGTGGCCCTTCGTGTAGAGGTCAGAGGTCAGAAGCTGGATGGGCCTTCCCAGGCCCAGCTTCCACGAGGAAAGAGAGGACCCAACCCCTGATACACTCCTCACCCAAATCCTCTATGTACCCCCGGCCGAGACAGCTTGGGCTGGCTTGGGGGTAAGAAAGAGAAGAGACCCCGGGCCCCAAGGGCAGCACCTGTGTCCCACGTCCCGGCACGAGCAGAGGGCCTGTCAGTCTGCGAGGAGGTAGAGCCAGGGGCGGGCTGCTGGGGGCAGGCAGGGCCACTCAATTAATCAGCAGGTCCCCAAGGTCGTAGGAGTCGAAGAGGTCACTGATGCCCTCACCCCCGTCCAGGCCCCACAGGTAGTCGTCCTGGTCCAAAGGCGGGGAGAAGCTGATCAGGGGAGAGCTGCATGGCAGGCTTGGGGACAGGAACTGGTCCTCGGTTTGCTGCAGAAGTGGGTGCGGCAGCTCCAGCATGCTGTCGGTGGCCTCCAGCGGTACAAGCGGCAGGGGCGGGGGCGCTGGCGGCTGCGGGACCTGCTGGGGAGTCAGCGCTGGCCCTGGAGACAAGCAGACAGAGGTCACACCTGGACTGGGTGCCCAAAAGCCTCTGGTCAGACCTCGGAGCACAGGAACAGCCCTCCCCCGTTCTCTGGACCACTGTGCACCCTCTTCTCTCCTAACCTGCCCCATACCCAATGGCAGGCGACACTCTCCCTCTCCTGACACAGCTGTAACCACTGCCCTCACTGTCCCCCACTCTCTCTCCCTCCTTTCAAAGGAGGTGGGATCTCTTGCTCTCCAAACCCTACCCACTTGGGGCACCTGGCTGGCTCCGTTGGAAAAGTACACGACTCTTGATCTCAGGGTCGTGAGTTTGAGCCCCACATTGGGTGTAAAGATTATTTAAAAATAAAAATCTTAAAAAAAACCAAAAAACCCTCGCCCCTCTCACCTTCAAGGCTCTGGCCCCGGAAACCACATCCTCTGTTTCCTGCATCACCAATTTCTCTCTCTTGAAGATCATGCCCATCATCAGGCAGACACATTCTAATGACTCCTATCTTTAAAAAGCATCCTCCCTGACCTCATGACCCTCTCGAATTCCCAGCCCAGTGTACTGCTCCTTTTCATAGCAAAATTTCTCAAGAATGCCCGTGCTCACCCTCTACTTCCCCACCACGATTCACTCTTCAACCCACTCCAACCTGGGGGCTGTCCCCACAAAGCCACTCAGCCCGTGACCTCCTATTGCTGGACCCAATGGTCAGTTCTCAGCCTCATCTTATTTGACCCTCCAGCAGAACCTGGCGCCGTTATTCACACCTTCTGGAAACACCTTCTTCACTTGGCTCCAGTACACTAGATTTTCCTGGTTTTCTGCTTACCTCCTTGGCTGCTTCTCTTCTGTCTCTTTTGCTGGACCCTCCTCCTCTCCCTCACTTCTAAGCCCTTGAGGCCCCAGGGCTCCACCCTCAGACTCCTCTCTCTGGCTGCACATCTTCCCAGGCAACCACAGCCACCCCTCGGCTTTAAGCCTCTCAGACCTACCACGCGCAGCAGATGCCTCTGGCACAGACCTCACCCCCGAGCTCTGGGCTCCTGCAACACCTCTGCTTGGATGTCTCAGCTACCCCAAACTTAGCATGTCAAAACCAAACTCCTGGTCTTCCCCACTCTGTTAATGGACCACCAACCACCCAGCTGCCTAAGCCAAAAGGCCCGAGAATCACACAGAATCCTGCCATTTCCAGGACACCTGGGCGGCTCAGTAGCTTAAGCGTCTGCCTTCAGCTCAGGTCATGATCCCAGGGTCCTGGAAATGGCCTACCTCGGACTCCCTGCTCAGTGGGGAGCCTGCTTCTCCCTCTGCCTCTGCCCTCCCCCTGCTTGTGCTCTCTCACTCTCTCTGTCAAACAAATAAATAAAATCTTAAAAAAAAAAAAAAAAACCCTGCCCTTTCCCCAGCCCCCAGTCCAGCAGTGAGATCTGTCATTTCCACAACCACATGAGTTCTGCAAACTGCCCATTCAGTTCCACCACTGTGATCCTGGTCTAGCCCATCGTCCCCACCGAGACCGCTGCTGGGGCTTTCTTACCAGTCACCTTGCAACGCTTGCGCTCTAGCTTAAAAATGGCTTGACCAGCACTGAGAAGGCCCTGCGTGATCCAGCGCCTGCCTGCCTTTCTGCTGCCTCTGTCCCGCCTCCTTCCACTGACACTCAGCCTCTCCAGCTACACTGGCTCGGCTGTTTCTTTCCTTTTTTTAAAGATTTTATTTAAACAGCCTCTCGGCTATTTCGAGCACACCAAGTGCATTTCTCCTTAGAGGTCGGAGGGTGCCTTCCTACAGACAGACGAGAATAGGGCACCGGAAATCTCCCCCAATATATCCTGATGCCTTAAACCCCAACCAAGTATTCCTTGGAAAATAGAGCCGTGCTGGTGTGCCTGCCTGCCTGATCAGCCTCTTACTCACCACGTATCTGTGGGCAAGTGACTTAACGTGGACGAGCCTCGGCTTCCTCGCCTCTAAAATGGGGACGATTCTCCCCACCTCGCAGGGTTGCTGAGAGGATTCAGTGATAGGTGCAGGGGGAGAACCCTTCTCAATAAGAAGAGCTCCGGTTTACCAAGGGCTTACCATGGCCGGCTCTGCTCTCAAGGAGAGGCGTGTTTCACCTCCTCAAGTGGCCCCACAGGAGGCAGTACAGGGACCCCTATTTACAGATGAGGAAACTGAGGCTCAAAGGAGCCAATTAAATGTATGTGAACGAAAAGAATGGCATGTTTCTGTAGCAGGTTGCTGAGGCCTGCAGGGGTTCTGGCTTGGGAAGAAGGGGAGGCCCTGGGCTCAGACCCCAGCCCCACCCGCACCAGCTGTACGACCCGGAGCCTCAGTTTTCTCGGGATCAAAAATAAGGCGCCACCTCCCCGACGCGCCGAACAGCAAGGAGAGCACGCACGGAAGCCTCTGCTGCAGGCGGCCCTTGCTCTCTTGCGCTTATCACACCCAGGAGTGAGTGGCTCTTTCTCGGATCCGGGCCTGCCCCACACTCTGATGGCTCAGACTCACTTCTCAATCTCCAAACCACACAGAGTAGGCGCCCGGTTCGCATACGCTTTTTAAAAAACCACATTCACGCTGTCTCACTGCCTGTAACCCACCCAGGAGTCGTGAGGGAGTTTTAAGGGTCCCAGTTTTAGAGACGTGAGGACAGTGGCTCTGAGGGGCCGAAGTGACCCGCCTCCAGTCACCAAGTCACGGTAGGCGAGGTGCAAACACAAGCCCCCGTCTCCCAGTGTCAACTCCTGCGTGGTAGCGACACTTACATTGACCTCAGAATGTGAGAGCCTGGAAAGGTGTTAGAGACAACCCTTGTCCAAAGCCCCTCCGTGACAGATGAGAGAAACTGAGGCCCCAAGGGGTTAGTGATTCCCCCTGGTGATGCCAGAACCCGGGTCCCCAGACTGGGTGTGGCCCCGGCGCTCAGACATCAAAAGGGCTCTGCTTCAGGCCAGAACATGGAGCGTGTGTGTGTGTGTGTGTGTGTGTGTGTGTGTGTGTGTGTACACCTTCCAGGAAATGTCCTTCTGTTCCCTTTGGCAAGGACATCACTAAGAGACCACATGGCAAGGGTAGAGAGGGGCACCCATGGCATAGAGCTGGCTCCTGGGCTGGCCTCACCACCAAGCACTCTGTCAGTCTCTACTCCTTCTGGGAGCACAACTGATCCATAAAACCGAGGCAAAAACCTCACCCTTGCTTATGCTGGAGGGTCCCCCACCTCTGCCCCCGGTCTCAAGGACATCTGAAGTGAAAGTGGTTCTAACTGGGAGAACTGTGCACATGTTGACAGTGGAGTGAGAAGGCAGAGCGAAGCAGGAGGGTCAACAGGGCGGGGCACAGGTCTGGCATGGGAGATAGGCACTGGGAGGGGCCTGGAGGGACAGATGGTTGGTGCAGGGAGAAGCCTGTGTCCCTTGACCAGACCAGGACACAGGAGAGATCACCGGAGAAGAGCTGGGAGTCTGGGCTCTTGTTCAAGTTCTGCCTCCAACTTGCTGTGTGACCTTAAGGAAGTCACTCACCTTCTCTGAACCTCAGCTTATTCATGTGTGAAATGAAGGGCTGAGTTAGATCAGGGCTCAGCAAATTTCTGTAAAGGACGGATGGTATTTTAGGACTTGCAGGATACTTACAGTCTCTGTCACACAGTCACTTTCTTCTTGCCCCCCAACTCTTGAAAAATATGAAAACCATCCTTAGCTCATGGGCCACTTAAAAACAGGCCAGATTTTGCCTGCAGGCAATAGTTTGTGGACCCTTGAGTTAAAGAAATGGAATCCAGCCTGTGTTCTGTGGACACCCCACCAAGCCTCTTCCGTCAGACCAGTTTGAGCTCTGGTTTGTTTAAACACCAGAGTTCTACTTAAGGGAATTCTGCGGCTGAAAAAACAGAAAGTTGAACACTGGCCTCCATAGCCTCGAAGGATCTGTCAGTCCGACCTGATGTGTGATCCCAGTAAAGGGCAAAAACCATCCTGGGGGAAGGGTCTTCCCAGGCTCCCATTTCTACTCCTTCTGGACTCCTTCCCTGGGACCTCTCCCACCTCTTTGCTCCCTGGTGACTACCTCATGCTACTTCCTGCCAGGTATAGCCAGCTTTAGCTGTATGGTCCACCGCCCAGCCAAGGGGGAGCTGCTCTGGTCAGGAGCCCTTTCCTTGATCTGTTCCGAGTATCATGGAGTGATGGCCTGGGCTAGGAGTGTGGGGAAGGAGGGTCAAGACAGTTGTTACCTCCCAACTAGGAGACTCTGGGTGAGTCACATCAACCTCTCTGCTTCAGTTTATTCATCTCTAAACCGGGAACGATAATGCCTACAAGAATTGCTGTGAACAGTAACGTGATAACATAGATGTACCTAGTACATAGTTGTGATTTAAAAAATCTTAGTTGAGCCTTCCTTCAAAAATCTGTAGTCCCCATTTACTGTGGGCTTAGTGAGGGCCAGGAGCTTTGCTGTTGGTAGTCAGCATAGCAGTGTGGTTCTAGCAGTAGTAGGAGGTTAACAGTGACAAGAATAGTCAGCAGTTACTGTGAGGCACCGTCCCAAAGGCTTTACCTATACGAATTCACTCAATCCTCACAACCTACGAAGTAGATACCGTGAGTTACTGCACCCAACTTACAGGTGAGGCTAAGGTAAAGAGAGGTTAAGTGACTTGTCCAAGGTCACACAGCTGGTTACTGGAAGCATGGATTGGATTCAAAGCCAGGAACCCTCCGCCCCAGAGCACATCAGCCCCCCTACTAAGACAAGAACACAAGCACTTCCTTTATAAAGTGTGAGCTGTCCCTTCGCTGCCCAACCAACGTTGCCACGGAAAAGGAAACTCTAAGGCTGGTTTCTCTCCCCACCTCCTGTCCCTCTGGACAGAGGGTCCTACCTGGGGATGCCATGGGTTCTGTCATCCCAGGGTCAGTGCTGCTGCTGGGCTGGGTGGCGTCAGGGCTGGGGCCAAGGGTGGAGGTCGGGGGGAGGGGCTTCTTGGCAGGACTGTCTGGCTCTTGCACCTCCTCTGGGCACAGGTAGACTTCGATGGGCCCTTGGGTGCTCTTCAGATATATCTGCAGGTTCTCCTAGAGGAAGAAGAGAAGCCAGGTCATGGCTCTGGGCAGCTGGGCACTGACTCATGGGGTGGGGTGTATGGATGGGGACACCCAGGGCTCCCACCATCCATGTGAGCAAGCTCAACTCCTGAGCTGGGCCCCAACACCTGCACCATCTGACCGTGGAGGGCATCTGCTCTTTCTGCCTGTCTGGTCCCCAGGCTCCCTTCTTTGAGGGAGAGTATCTTGATTTTCCTTTGGGAAACCACTCCTCTCCCACTCTCAAGTCATGTAGTTTAGGGGGACAACATCTTTCCCAACTCCAGTGGGTGAGCTTGGGGTGCAGGCTGGGAAAGTCACAATGATGGTGACTAGTTCAGGGCAGCACATGACTCAGCTCGGTCCCCTAGCGTCAGACCCAGGACTCGTGCTGGACTTGGAAATGAAAGCTCCCTCCCATAGGGGTCGCTGAGCTGGGATCATGAAAGCTACCTTTGCCACTGGAAGAGGGGAACCCGCCTGGGAATGGAAACAGCACAGAGAATGGTAGAGAAAGACAGAGAACACGGGGTGAAGTGAAAGTCATAGTTGGAGCTCCTGCGTCTAGCCGTGCCTGCAATTTCCAAACCTTCCCTCTGCACCTGTCACTTGGTTCCCCACAGTCCTCTCCACCCCCCACCCCTGACTTAAGCCATTGGACTTGGCTTTCTGTTACTTATAAGCAAGAGTCCTGATACTCGGCCTTCCCACCCCTGCTTCTTCCCTCCCACCATCAATACACACCTGCCATTCCAACACGCACTCAAGTCTCCTCCCCCGTTCACCTGCAGGGCCCTCTGTCTACCCCTATTTCCCCTGACAAAAATCCTGTTCATTCTTTAGGACCCAACACCTGTAACCATCTACGGGCTCTTCCTCCAACTGTCCTTTCTTTGGGCCCTCAAAGCATCTTAAGTCTATAAATGGCAGCATGACTGCTTGCTTGGGTCTTTTTCCCACTAGGTCCTGAGCTCCTTCAAGGCAGGGGTGGGGCCCCATTTATCTTAATGTCCTTCCATTAAACAAATTCTTTCTTTTTAAAAAAAAAGATTTTATTTTATTTATTTGAGACAGAGAGAGAGAGAGAACACACGAGGGGGTAGGGTGAGAGGGAGAAGCAGACTCCCCGCTGAGCAGGGAGCCCGATGCGGGACTCGATCCCAGGATCCCGGGATCATGACCTGAGCCGAAGGCAGTCGCTTAACCAACTGAGCCACCCAGGCGCCCTAAACAAATTATTTCTTGAGCCCTTATATATGTCCAACTCTGGGCTGGGGGTACCACAGGAGTGCAGCATGTTTTGTGGAGCTTAATCTCTAATAGATGAAGCAGAACATAATGACATAATCACCAATCTCTCCCAGCAAACGGAGGTTAAGTGCAGTAGAAAAACACAGGTAGTTATGAAATCGGGAGGGGGAGGGGGTGTAATCAGGGAAGGCTTCTTTGAGGAAGTGACCTTTGGGTTGAGACCTGTAGGACGAATAGCAGTAAACCAGGCAGAAAAAGGGAAGAGCATTTCAGCTGGAGAGAGTAGCAGCAGAAGGTCTTATACCGGGGACAAGCTTAGTGTGGTGGTGACACTGTAGAGAAGTCAGTGTGGCTGAGTCAAAGGCACAGTGGGGCAGCATGAGAGAAGAGGCTGGCGAGGTCAGAGCACAGAAGTCTCATTGGGAAGTAGTAAGAATTTAGGTCTTTAACTAGGTGAGCATGATTAGCAGGAAAGGATTATGGTGAGCACTAATACCATGGTGTGTGGGCACAGGAGTGCAGGGGCTGGTGGGTGCAGAAAGGTGGCAAGAGCGGAGATTTTCTTGGGACAGTAGCTGATGTCTGTTGTCTTTTCTAAGCTCCTGCTATCGCTGCCCCAGCTCAGAGACCACCAATCTTGCTATGGGCGCCAGAATGGTTCAGGGAAGCTTGTGGCCAGGTAGTGCCGGGGACAGAGCCTACAGAGCAGCCTGGGACCCTCCATAACCTGCTCTCCACCAAATGCTCCCCCTCTCACCTCCCTCCTGTCGGGCACTTCCAGTCTTGTCTGTGGAGGGGCCTTGACTGCGATCACCGTCTGCTCCTTAAAGTTGCCAACGGCACGGATGTCCTGGTAAGTCACATAGGCCAGTGTAGTGGCAGGAGAGTCAAGAGAAGTAACTGGTCAAAATTCAAACCCCTAGCCTGCCGGGCGAAGCCTTGGAACATGTCTTTCTCGTTCCTTTTTTTATTTAAAGATGTTATTTATTTATTTGACAGAGAGAGACACAGCGAAAGAGGGAACACCTTAAGCAGGGAGAGTGGGAGAGGGAGAAGCAGGCCTCCCATGGAGCAGGGAGCCCGATGTGGGGCTCGATCCCAGCACCCTGGGATCATGACCTGAGCCGAAGGCAGACGCTTAACAACTGAGCCACTCAGGCGCCCTGTCTTTCTCATTCCTTACACAGCTTAGAGATAACCAAAAACGATAACCTGTTCTTTTAGTATCATAAACTACCTTGGATCCCTTTAGAAAACAAATGGGAGTATAAATCATTTTTTTAACCAATTTTTAAAAAGCTGCTCCTGTCAATTTTTTAGATTTTATCTTGGGTGCCTAGGTGGCTCGGTTGGTTGCGCGTCTGACTTCGGCACAGGTCATGATCTTGGGGTCCTGGGATCCAGCCCCATGCTGGGCTCCCTGCTCAGTGGGGAGTCTGCTTCTCCCTCTCCCTCTCCCCCTGCTTGTGTTCCCTCTCTCTTTGAAATAAATAAAATCTTAAAAAAAAAAAGACTTTACCTCTCAGACTAGATCATTATCTCTGAGCAGGTAGTAAGACCTGTCTTATTTCTTTATATTTCTCACAATGCCTAGCATCCTTCCAAAAATACAAAGTGAGATCCAAAAACCAATGAGATGGTGGAACCATTTGGGAAAAGAGTATGAAAAGCCTCAGCAAAATCCATGTTTGTAATTTCAATCCTAGCAATCTAAGGAAATAAGTAAAAAACATAGGAAAATGTTCTCTATACAAAGATATTCACCACAATCCTGCTTTATAAAAGCAAAAATCTCGAATTGATCTAAATGTTGATTCTAGGCCTTCTCAACAAATCAGAATGTAGTCTGAGTAGGACCGTCTCAAATCATTCTAAACATGAGGTTAAAACACATGAGGTTGCTGTTTTTGTAAAAAATGGCCCAATAGCAACAATTCCATGTGGATCAAGCAAATAGGGAGGATTTGTAGCAACGTTAAAAACCGTCTATGGTAGGGGCGCCTGGGTGGGTCAGTTGGTTAAGCGTCTGCCTTCTGCTCAGGTCACAATCCCTGGGTCCTGGGATCGAGCCCTGTATCAGGCTCCCTGCTCAGCGGAGAGCCTGCTTCTCCCTCTCCCTCTGCAGCTCCCCCTGCTTGTGCTTTCTCTCACTCTCTCTCCTGCTCTCTGTCAAATAAACAAATAAAATCTTTTTTTTTTAAGATTTTTTTTTTATTTATTTGAGAGAGAGAATGACAGATAGAAAGCACGAGAGGGAAGAGGGTCAGAGGGAGAAGCAGACTCCCCGCTGAGCAGGAAGCCCGATGTGGGACTCGATCCCGGGACTCCAGGATCATGACCTGAGCCGAAGGCAGTCGCCTAACCAACTGAGCCACCCAGGCACCCTAAATAAATAAAATCTTAAAAAAAAAAAAAAGAAAACCTGTCTATGGTGATATACTAGGTGGAGGAAAGCAGGATATAAAACGTTGTGTATAATAGCTCACACCATATTTAATAACACGTACCCTGTGTATGCGTAAGAAACAAGGGCTATGTTAGGGTGGCAACTGTTTCTTTCTTTTCTCCATTTTCCAGATTTTTGTTTTGTTTTAAAGATTTTATTTATTTATTTGTCAGAGAGAGCCAGAAAGAGCACCAGCAGGGGGAGTGGGAGAGGGAGAAGCAGACTCCCCGCTGAGCAAGGAGCCCAACGTGGGGCTTGATCCCAGGACCTGGGGATCATGACCTGAGCCAAAAGCCGATGAACCAACTGAGCCACCCAGGCGTCCCTCCATTTTCCAGGTTTAAAGAAATGGACTTACTTTTCTAATGAGAGTAGCTTCGATAGACTTGTGAGGAAAAGCCACCGAGGAAGGCAGAAACAGACATGCCAATCCCCGAGGGTGAGCGAGCTCCCCCTGCCGGAAGATTCTATCCAGACTCAGGATGGCTATGAGCATGCAACAGGGCCCTGCTCCCTGACCGCTTCCCCCCCACCACACAGGATATCTCTTGTTGGCCTTGTCCTCAGTCAGGTGCTTGAAGTTCAGAGAGCATCTCTGAATGAGCTGGTCCAAGGTCTGCTCCGTGCTCATCAGCTCCTTCAGCTCCTGCCCCAGCTGTTGCTGCTTCCCGGGCCGGGTGGGGTCTTCAAACATTTCCCTGCCTCTGGGAACAGAGCAGTCCCCCAGTGTCAGTCTCAGTCCACAACCAGGGGCCCGATCCCAGGGCTGCAGCGCAGACCCACACAGACGATGCGAAACCCCAGAATGGGGCCACTGGTGTGGGCTACAACAGCGCTCCCTGGGCTGTGCACATCAGTGGTCCTGCCTTCCAGGGAGCTGCTAGGAATATGGAACCTGAAGTTCGGGGGTTGGGCTAGGGAAAAGAAACAAGTCAAGCCTGACCCCACTTTTGAGAGGCTCCCCAAACGGTCCACACTACACCCCAGCCTCCCCCAGATGCCTTGCCTGGGTTCTCTGCAGGTCTGCTCTGATATTTGTAGGAGGAAAGGAGCCCAGAGGACTCAGATATCAGAGCTGGAAGGAGGATCAGTTGCTACAGCCCAGCTCCCAGGGGACTTTCCTAAGCTAGACGAGGAGAATCTTGGGATCCCCAACTAAAGAGGATCTGGGTCCTCTTAGGCCTTTACATGTCTCAGCTCCAGCCCCGACACACACCCGCTGGATAGCGCCCCCCCCCACCTTCACCCACAGCACGTGCACCCACGGTGCCATCGGCCCCAGCACAGGCACTCACACCCACTGGATGTTGTTCTTGGCCTTCTTACGGATGAGCTGGATACCCTCCAGCACATTGGTGATATCATAGATGCGCCGTTTCTGCACATCCAGCACCTCGGCGGCCCAGTTCAGGTCCAGGACCCCATCCTTGGATTCGCTCAAGAGGTAAATGAACTTCTTGGTGAGCAGCCCCAGTGACGTGTCATACCGAGTCTTCTCTCCGGGGGACTTGGGTGCTAAGGGGAAAAGGGGCCCAGTCACTGCTCAGGGAGAGCCAGCCTGGGGAACCTCATCCATGGATCTGGACTTATTAAGTACCACCCTTCACATGAACGCAGGAGTAACCACTTTCCAGTTTACAGAGCACTTCAAGGCAGGAGGTCGTTCGCCAACCCCGTCCAGGCGGGGAACCTGATACCTGGAGAGGGAACATGACTTGCTTAAGGTCTCACAGTCAGGGGCAGGGGCAGGACTGGAAACCAAGCATCTTCTAACTCCTGGTTCAGAGCACCTTTCCACCATAGCTTAGGGCAGCCATATCAATATCCCCACCACCACCAACGACAAATACCGTGTGTAGGTCACTGTTCTAAGCACTTTCCATATACAACAAATGCAATCCTTACAACACCCTTGACGCGGCTATACAACCATCCCCATTTTATGGATGAGACTACTGAGGAACAGACAGGTAAAGTAACTCTCCCAGCTCACTCAGCTAGAAAGTGACAAAGCTGGGATTTAAATCCAGGCAGCCTGGCTCCAGAGTCTTTCTTCTTAACCATTACCCCCTCCTGCCAGCTATGCCAGGAATCTGGAATTAGGGTAAGGAGAGAAAGGGAATGATGGGCTGGGATTCGAGCACATTTTTCGACTTGCTTTTTCTTTCCACGTGTAGCCTAATGATTATCTGAAAGGAATCAGTCCTATAATATCAAATGGGGCTGGTTCATGAAAAAAAGATCCTTTCTTAATGAGGCTGATGTCACAAGACCACATCCCAGCTGCAGTATCTTAAACCACGAGTGGACTTTGGCAATCAAATGACTTGCAAGTCATACAGCAAGCTAGCGGCCAAAGAAGTTCTGGAAACTGAGTTTTGGAGAGCCTCAGATTCCTCCAGAAGGGGACTTTAGGACCCCTTCACATTTGGCATACAGGCGGTTTGGGTCAGGTTTTGCACCCTTGGCAGACACTCCTAAATGATCAGTGCGCTTACTATCTCTCAATAAAATGCTCCAGGCAGCTTCTACCTATCAACAGGAGGGCCAACTCTCTTGCTATTATTCCTGATCCAGCTGTGCTTTTTACAGCTAAGGCTCACAAGAGGAGTGGCCAAGGCCCTGTCCAGACCCCCAAATTCCTGACCCTCACGCTTTGCACCCAGTGACATAACCTTCTTCATGAGGTCTCTGACTCCCCAAATTATTGTTCCTCCCTAACATAAGTTTCTAAAACTCCAGCTGGAACCAGGATATTGATTGAACATATCAGGAGCAAAAGTAGAAATTCCCTGCAGCTTAGCTTTCGAAAGACACCACCCTGGTGGCCTCTGGATCTTAACCTCTGAGGCACACGGTTTAGACTAATCCAAGCTTCACTTCCCTTGGAATCACTCATTCAGCTCTCTGCCTGTGGGACAAAGACCCTGGCTCACCCTGTTCCTCTTGGAGCTGGATTCTCTCTTTTAGAAAAGGTCAGACTGAACTCAATATAAACTTTTTTATAATGTATAAAAATGAGTAAGCTCCTAAGTAAAACACCAGTCATCACATTTGGGTCACGAGAGTGGTGTATGGTGTGGAAGATGCAGGGCCCACCTGGGTTTGAGTCCTGACACTCCTCCCCCCACCAGCAGTGTGACCTTGGGCAAGTCACTCAAGCTCTGAGTCTCAAACCGCCTCATCAGTGAAAGGGGGACAGTGCTAAGCACGGCAGGGTCCCGTGACAGAACGCAGAGGAGCCTACTTTGTAAACCGGGAAGTGTGCTGCAAATATCACTCCTGCTGATGTGGGTAGGGTTGCTGCCCTCTGCCCCTGCCCGCCCTTAGATGCCCCACCAGCGCGGCTTACTTCTGGGGCTGGCGAGGCCATCCACTCTAATGCACTTGCCCTTGGGAGTCCGGAATTCAGGGATTGCTGGCCTCCCGATCCCCTCCAGGTCCAGCTTCCTTTTGGCCTTGGAGAGAGGAGCGAGAGAGGCAAAGTTTTAGAATCATTCCTCCTTCGGTCTTTCCCCGAGCTGGAGCCAAAACATGGAGGCCATCAGCAGCCGCTTTCTGTGCCTCAGTTTACCACCAGTCCTGGTGCAACATCACTGCCCTTGGTGAGGAAACAGTTCAGCTTGCCAAGTGAGCTTTCGGGGGGAAAGGGGATCCTGTTTTCTGAAGAGCACACGACACTCTCATCCTGAGGTGCAGGTACCTGAAGACCACCGAAGCCAGTCTGGCCAGGAGCTCAGGTTTCCTTAATAATGGGCCCCAAGGTCACTAGTACATCTGCCATCCCCCAGCCCCCATGCCCAGAGGAGGATGCAGGGAGGAAGGAGTGGGTAGGACCTAAACCACATCAGGCTGGGGAGAGCCTCCCGCCCCACCAAGTGCAAGAGCAGCTGGCCTGGCGGGCCCTGGTGCCCATCACAGCCCCACAGCTGGCCCTTATCAGGGTGGGGCTGGGCATCCGCCCCGGCCCAGGGGACTTCCTGGCTCAGTGCCACACCCCAGGGATGTGCCCACATCGGGAGGCAGAGCCAACATTCCCCACCCCCATGTTTGGGCTCCCGCTCAAGGGCCCCAGGGCCTCCTGAATAGACTCCATTTGCCATTCTTTCTTTGCTGAGAGGGGCAGACAATGAATCCTTCCCCTGCATCTCAAGGACAAACAGCTGAGGTCCCCCTGCTCCCCCTGCCTGTTCCCGCCAAGCTTGGGAAACACCTGCTGGGGAAATCAAACCACAGACCCATCTGCTCTTCTCCACCCCACTGCCACCAGGCCTCAATTAGGCCCAGAAGCTGCACTGGCCCGGAAGGGGCCTCTCTCCTGTTAGGGCTGGGCAGGGGCAGGGCTAGGGTACTGGGGCACTGGGGCATAGGTCGGATGCCTGGACTTGACTCTCCCAGCTCCTTCGTGGGCTCACTGTGTGTGTGTGTGTGTGTGTGTGTGTGTGTGTGTGTGTGTGTGTGTGTGACTTGGGGAAGTACTCCACATCTAGGAGCCTCAGTTTCCTCCTCTGTAAAATGAGGCAGAAAACACCTGCCTTGAGGGACCACTGTGAGGAATCAAGGGGGTAACTCCTGCAAAGTGCTCAGCCTGTGGCTCAGCACACATAGATGTTCAGAAAATGCAGAGTCCCTTCCCTGAAATCCAGGCTTGGCCTCTTCCTTGACACACCCTTCAGGGGGCCTCTGAGCCCATTTCCTTCCTCTCCCTCTCCCCTAATCACCCAGACACCCCTAAGTTGGTTGGGACAGAGAGGCCTATTTTAACCTTTGACAGTGAGGTCATGCTCGGCAGGGCTGAGACTTCTAACTGCTGCTGAGCACAGCTGGGCAGACAGGTGTGGGAAGTGGTGACAGCTCTTCCGGCTATCAGCTCCCCTCCCCACCCCTGCCTCCTCCAGGAAGTCCTCCTGGAATCAGTCCAGGAGAGCCGTTCCTTGGTTTGAGAAGCCTGGATACGATGCTCCTCTCTTCCACCCCTATCCAGACCTGGACATGATCCAAACACTTCCCTGCTCATTCCTCTTGAAGTCTCTCTGGAATATTCTTTTTCTAACCTCTCAGCTGGTGAGATCCTAGATTCTAGGGACTGTGACCTATCTTGTCTCTAGATAAAGGCCCAGTCATTCACTGAGATCTTCCACATGCCCTGGGCTGAGCCCCAACATTCATCACCTCACTGAGTCTCCCAGCACCACCAAGCCCCATTTAACAGCTGGAGTAACTGGGACTTGGTGAGCTCCAACGTCTTTATCAATCCCGACTGAAGTTGTCCATCCCAGGACCCTTCATCCATCCCTCAAGAAGGAATGCCAAGAGCAGCGAGAGGAAGAGAAGTCAAGCTGAGTTCTACCCGAGGCACAGGTGGGGCAACCCAGAGTCTCCCCAACCCCATCCACTTCCCCCACCTGACAGGAGCCAGGCCCTGCTGAGTTCACAGAACACGAGGAAGAACCTCACTACCTGCAAAGCGGGGGGAAGGAAGGACCTTGAACAGAGTATCTGCACTGGGCTTATCACGTGCTCATCAGTCCTGCACCATCAGCACTGGCAATTACTCTTGGCAGAAGAGAAATGGAGACTCAGAGAGGGTAAGCCATGAGCCCTAGGTCACACAGACAAAGGGCAGAGCCAGACTTTGAACCCAGGATTGTCTGACTCCAAAGCCATGTACCAGGCCGTCTCAGCTCTTTCGCACACATTCCCCCAGATTTTGCTGGAACCTGACATTCCCCCAGATTTTGCTGGAACCTGAGCCAAGGCCTGGCTGTGCCCACCTGCCATTACTTTATATACACAGACCAGTCCCCTCCCTTCCCTTATGGTCCCTCCCCTTACCCAGGACTTCAAGCTTCCCCAAGCAGCAAAATGTCCCTCATCCAAGGGTATCTCCCTGACACCTTGGGGCACAGCCCATGGATGGGCCTGAGCCTATAGAACAGAGGTGGCAGAGGACAAGTCCAGAAAGATGTGGGCCAAGGAGAGCCTGAGCAAAGGCCTTGGAGTCAGACCCCCCTGGGATCCCCTCTAGGCCTCCCCCCTTCTTAGCTGGGTGAGCTCAGCAAGTCAGTCGACCTCTGGAGCCCCACCTGTAAAATGGGCATAATCTGCTCCACCCCGGCCGGGGACTCAGGGACAGTGCAGCAAAGCGCTTTGCTCACACAAGGAAGCCGGTATCACTAAAGCTCCAGGGGCACCAGCAACGGGAAAGAGTAGAGGTAAGCTGAAGAGACGGGGATGCGCAAAGGACAAAGGCCAGTCTGGCTCTAACCTGGACCCTCTTAGGAGGCAGCCCCTTTGGCTGTTTCTTAAAGGCCTGATTAGGATTCAAGCTCCCCCAGCCAACCCCAAGTGAGAAGAGTGAAGCTCCCTCCTCCGGCAGCCCCAGAAGTGAGAGGGCTGGAGACCACCAGACGCAGCCCCACTCCGGGCAGCAAGGTGACGAAGGTGGGGCTAGAAGGAGGGGGGGTGACTTGCCCAAGGTCACACAGGGAACGGAGCCAGGTTAGCCCCAAGCCCCAATTTAGACGGTAGGGGTAGGAGCAAGTGTTCTAGATCCCAGCTCTACCACTCCATAGCCTGCATTTCCACATCTGACCCCCCCCTTGGATAGTTGTTCCTTAAAATGTACCTTTGCTTTCATGGTTCTCAGGGGACTTTGGAAAAGACAGACAAAAGGAAGAACTGTGCTGAATCCCACCCTCTTCACAGATTGCCATAGGAATGAGACAGAATCACGTGATGTGCCTGGCTGGCCTAGGGACTCCATAGAGGAGAATCCCAAGCCTTCCCCAGAGGGTGCTGAAAAGAGCCCCAGACAGGGAGTGAGGAGACCAGGGCTCAGGCCTTCATTCTGCCTTTGAACTTGGTTGCCATCCCTGAGGTCCCTTTAAACAGCAGCTCCCCAACAAATCCTACTCACCCTGCACTTTGCAGCCTGGCCACAAACCAAGCAGCCACACCCAGGGTTGGGTTTGGAGCTGCTCCAGGTCACACCCTGGTAAAATGAGTAAGCAGGGGGCCAGGCCTGCCCATGGGGCTGGGGGCCATGGGGCATCTGACGGGAGAGGGGGCTCTCGGCCTGGCAGGCCTTTAGGGGAGTCTGATGCAAGGAGACTCTCCTACTTCTTGGCTTGTGACTTGGACAAGTGACTTCAGGTCCCTGCTCAGTTTTCTCATCTGTAAGATGCCTCATCGCAGGCATCTTGGCCAAGATAATGAATGTGAAGAGTGCCAAGCAGTGCCTGGCACAGGAGAGGCGTTCAGTAAAAGAGAAGCATTCTTGCTGTGATCACTGAGCCCCTCTGGGAGGGAGCTACAGACAGATGCACTTGGGCTCCTCTGGGAGGGAAGCAGTTCAAAACCACAGCTGTTACTGAAACGCAGCCACTGAAACCCCGCCTGGGCGCCTGAAAGCAGCTTGCCAGAGGGGACTGCACCCACCACTGAGCCCCTTCCCCCCCGGGGCACCCAGCTCCTCGGTCGGGCAGTACTGCGGAAAGTCAAGGCTGCAGAGAAGAGACCAATGATCACCAGCCTTGGTCATACATCTCCCTGTATGACCTTGGACAGATCACATCCTCCCTCTCTGCCTCAGTTTCTCCCTGGAGCTACTAATGCCTCCTGCTTCCCAGGGTATAAAACAGTGTTAGGTTGTAAAATGCTGAAAGATAGAAACCCAGTCTCAGTTATCTTTGGCTGTTTGACCTGTGAAATGGGAATTGCACCCCTGCCTCCTTCCTCCTAGTTGGAAATCATGGGCAGGAAGGGGCTCTGGAAAGTTTAAAGCCTTGAGCATGGGCAAAGCATGACTCCCGTAGCAGGGACCTGTGCCTGCTGCATCCAGGGAAGGCTGGGGGTCTGGGCCTGTCCACTGACAAAAGTCTGACCCGATGCCTCTACGGCAGTGAGGGGTGGTCTTAGCTCTGTACCTGAACTTATTCACCACTCACTCACAACGAAGCAAACTACAGCACCCCCATCTCCCCTCCCTGCAGCCTCTTTCCAAAACCCAGGACCTGGAGCTGGAAATGACCTGAGATGAGTTAGCCCAACTACCCCATGGACACATGCATTTTTCAAGAAAAGGAAATGTAAGCCCAGACTGGGGCCAAGACTTGTCCAGGGACACACTGAATTAGTGCCAGTCAGGACCAGAAACCAGGCTCCCCACCCACCACCCAATTCCCCCAGGGCATTTCTCACCCCACCCACCCCTACCCTATGGTTGTTTCCATTCTCAAGGGCTCCAGGAATTCCACTCCCACAAAACACACCCTGTACCTGGTGCCACCACACTTTGGGCCCTCCTTGGCAATGGCCTGGGGGCTTGAGAAAGGAAAAGTCCATCTGAATAGGAAACCCAGGGGGCTGCCCCCAATTTGCACTTGCTACTGGCTGTCTGGGAGGGAAGACTGGGCCTGGGAGAGACACGGGGCAGTTAATTGGGAAAGAGTTGGTTGTACGGGAGATTTAGAGTCTGTCCAAGCCAGACTGGACCTAAGAGACACCCCACCCCTGCTTCCCCCACCTCCCCGTTTTAAAGTCGCCACTGTATGCCTAGACCAAGCTCTATACCTGGACCATAGCAGATGCCCAGTACCAGTTTCTGGACCAAACAATGAATGAAAGAATGAAGGAATGGTGGCAATGTCGGCTCCGTGGACTTCCTCGAGGTCACACGGTGCACTGGGGGTAGTGGGCTGAGTCTCCGCACTCCCAATCCAGTGCTCATTCCACTCCACTCCAATGGATGAGGTTATTTCATCCCAAGTCCGAAATCGAAGGGCTCTTCAACTCAGATATGCTGGGCAATGGGTTGTTCTGGAAGTTGAAAGCTCTCTTTTCCCTCCCCAACTCGACCTGTTTCGTTCAAACTGGGTCCCAGGCGCCCCTCCCTCCTTTCCCACACCCGCAAAAGCACAGGGAGAAGCGGTGGGCGGCGGTGGGGAGGTCCCCAGCATTACCGGCAGCCGGCCAGCCGGCACGCATCGCACAGCTTGGCCCTCCGGTCCGTGGGGGGTGGCGTCGAGGCAGGTGCCGGGCGCCGCAGTGGGAGGCACAGTCTGCGGGTACAGCGAGGTGTAGTAGGTGGCGGTGGCCGGGCAGAGCTGGGGGCTGCTGAGGCCGGGCGGCCACAGCTCAGTAGGGCTCATCGCGGGTAGTCCCTTCGAGGGCGGCCCGGCGCCTGGAGCCAGGGCCCGGGGCCCTCGCAGCATGGCGAGTGCAGCGCCCCCTCCCCAGCCGGGCCTGGCGCGCCCGCGGGCACCTGCGGGCTCCGGAGCCCGCGGAGGCTCACACGGCCGGAGGCATGGCGCGGAGGCCCGGGGGAAGCCACCAATGGACGCCTGCGGGGCAAGGCCGGACCCTCCCCTCCTGGCCCGCCGCCGAGCCGAGCAGCGCTTGGAGATCCCCGCTTGGAGATCGCCCCGCGGCGGCGGCGGCGGCACGGCCAGGGGCTGTCCCGCCCCGAGGGCGGCGGCGACCCTGGGTGGCCCCGCGCCCCCGAAAGCCCGGGCGCTTGGGGTCTGGCTGGCTCCCGGCAGGGGTCTCTGGGGTCGCTGGGGGCTCGAAGGAGAGGCGATGCGCTCAGACGGGGAAGGGGGGCCGATTGCACCGACTCCCTCTCGCCTGGCTCTCTGGTCCCCAAGCCTTTCTCTGCCTCTTTTTTCCCTTCTTTTTTTTTTTTTTTTTTTTTTTTTTTTTTAGCGCCAAACTGCGTGCCGCGAAATTCGGATCTCCCGCGGAAAATGCCGCATTTTGGTTGGCCGCCGCTACAGGCACAGGCTCCACCCCCCGGAAAGGACCGGGTCCCCAAGGCGGCGATTGCAACACGAGCTTCGCTGCTTAAAGGGGCCGCCACACCTCCCGTCGCCCGGCGCCCGCCGGCCCTAGCAGCCCGCCAAACAGGCTGGGACGGTGGTTCCCGTACCGTGCGGCAACAGCCGGAGCAGCGCCGCGCCCGCTGAGGAAGGGGCCGGATTCCCTGGGGTGGTGGGGAATTTGGGCACGGAGTCCTGTCCTGAGCCCAGACCCAGCAGCACATTACCCAGGCCAAAGGCCTTTTGTTACTTTACATGCTTGCTTACTTAGCACATACGCTTTTATATCCCTTTTCTGCCCCGCTAAAATGAAAGCCAGGAACCTGTTTTCTTTCTTGGCAGGCGGGCGATGGGTGGAGCCTTATATTTATACCTCTTCATAGCTAACTAACATCGGCTGAGTGCCTACAGTATGCCAAGCACCCTGCTAGGTCATTGCATGAGTTGTTTTATTTCATTGAATCCAACAATTCCGGGAGGAGGCATGATGGTCTTCGTGGTAAAGATGGAGAGACAGAAAGGCTAGGTAACTTGCCCAAGATCACACAGATTCACTGACTTGAGAACTAGCAGTCCAATCTGGACAGGCCAGCGTCTGAGCCCTTGTTTGTTCCAATAAAAGGTTTCTCCCCCACCCTCCCAAGCTGTGCCTGCCATGTGCAGGCCTGGGTGGGGGCTGGGGGTCCAGAGTGCAGAGCTCTGTCTTGTTCTTAGTGACATTCCCAGAGCCCCACACTCGGTAAATATTTGAACATCTCCATGTTTTTCCTAAGCAATCCTTTTGTCACAAGAGCCTCCCTCCCTCATTCAAAACCTTCATTACCAATAATCCATTTACATTCCCAGTCTCTCCAGCTTAGAGATGCCGAGGCTCCAAGAAGTGACCTTAGCTAGCGAGTGGTGGAGTTGCCAGAAGCTGAATTCCAAGTCTGCCGATTCCTGCCTGGTGCTGCATGATTTCTATGCGGGGCTGAGGCTGGCATTCAAAACCCTCCAGAATCAGTCCCCAGCTTCACACCCGGTCCTTATCCTCAGATCTCGAGGATGAGGTGGCACTAATGCACGGTGATCAAGAGCCCAGACTTTGGGCGCCTTGGGTGGCTCAATTGGTTAAGCGACTGCCTTCAGCTCAGGTCATGATCCTGGAGTCCCAGGATCGAGTCCCAGATCAGGCTCCCTGCTTAGTGGGGAGTCTGCTTCTCCCTCTGACCCTCTCCCCTCTCATGCTCTCTCTCACTCTCTCTCTCTCTCTCTCTCAAATAAATAAATAAAATCTTAAAAAAAAAAAAAAAGAGCCCAGACTTTGTAGCAGACAGCACTGGGTTCAAATCCAGACCCAGTCACTTAACCAAGTGTGTGACCCCAGACAAGTTTTATAAACTCTCTGAGCCTCACTTTTCTCACACTATTAACACCCACCTCACAGGATTGTGCAGAAATCTCATGAGATAATGTACAGCTGTCAGCACACAGCCTGGTTCCTAAAGAACCTCAAGAAATAGCTGTGGTTACATTTCTGGCCTTATCTCCAGTACACAGACCCCTTCAGTCCAGTCTACATAGTTCACTGTTCTTCAAGGTCCAGCTTAAAAACCTCACCTCCTCCAGGAAGCCTTCCCTGCCTGCCTCCTCTCTCCCAGTCAGAGTGCTGCTTGCCCTCTTTCCATGCTTAGTGTGCTCTGACTCAACAAACAAAGCTCTGTTTAGTGGCCAGCAGGTTCCGATTCAAGTCCCACTCTTCACTTCGTAGCTGAGCAACCCTGGGCAGGCTGCCGCTCCCCGTCTCAACTATCAAGTACGGACAAGGCTTCTACTCGGGCTGATTTCACAGGACTCCGAGACACTATTGAAATGGTGGTGGTAATGACCCTCACAACACCCCTCTGGGACAGGCACTGTTATTATCCCCATTTTACAGATGAGGGATCCTGGAAGGAATTGTGGCTGAGCAGGTTTGGGGAAGGAGCAGAGCCCCAGGGCCAGGAAGGGAAATGGGGGTGGCAGGGTGGGGCTGAGACGAAAGAAGGGAGCCAGCAAGGGGGCCACGAGCCAGCTCTCTGTGGTTGAGTTTCTGGCTGCTGGGGCTGGCTTTAGTTTCACTGCCTGGGAACAGATTAATTCCTGTGGGGCACATCTATAGTCTGTCTCCCCGAACTTGAATTCCTGGCCCATCCATTCCTAGCTTGTGCTCTTGGTCAGGTTGCCAGACTTCTCTGAGCCTCACTTTCTTCGTCTTTGAAATGGGGATGGCATGGGATGCCTGGGTGGCTCAGACGGTTAAGCGTCTGCCTTCGGCTCAGGTCATGATCTTGGGGTCCTGGGATCGAGCCCCACATCAGCTCCTTGCTCAGTGGGCAGCCTGCTTCTCCCTCTGCCTGCCGCTCCCCCTGCTTGTGCTCTCTCTCAAATGAATAAATAAAATATTTAAAAAAAAGAAATGGGGATGGCAAAAGTGACCTTTTTATTTACCGTGCAGATTCGATAAGGTATTGGCTACGAAGTCCTCAGAGAGGTGCACAGTAGGTACCTAATATATTTTAGCTAAGATCTGTGAGAGACGGACCAGAGAGGCCCCAGTGGAACCAAACTAAAATACTCGCAGTTTTCCATTCATGTGCTACATGCCCCCATTTCCCAGGCTTTGCTTCCCTGGCTCCACATCCACAAGGCCCCTCCTCCCTTCCATCCTCATGCCCCCCCACGCCACTCCCCGCTCAAATCTGACCTACCTTTAAGGCCCCACTCAAATGGCAGAGTGGCAAGAGCAAAGCGTCTGAAGTCAGATGTTTTTGCCTCTGTGCCTCCCCGCCACCAGAGTGCCAGGCACATAGTAGGCCTGCAGTCCGTGATGCTGGTGATGGTAGCTCACATTTCTGAGCATGTCCTCGGTGTAAAGCACTCAGCTAGGCCCTTTACATGCATTATTATGTTGAAATGTCTTAACTACCCTATAACAGAGGTACAGTTTGGACAGAGGAGGAAACTGAGGCTCAAACACGTAGAGGGACTTGACCAAGGGCTGGTTAAAGATGAAACCGGGAACTGAACTCAGACCTCCGTCTCCCGAGGTACTGAGCCATTCTGAACGAAAAGCTTCTCCCCAGCATCCCAAGTGAAGGAGGGTACATCCTGCCCATGAATCTGAGGTTGCAGTCCTACAGACATTGTTGGAGGTGGAAAGATTGTGCCCCACAGCTAGATAAGTTAGGGATGCTTAGTCCCATTTTCCAGATGAGGGAGCCAAGGCATGGGTGACATTAAGCGACTTACCTGAGCCTGCACAGCTGGTAAGGAAGGGAGACCCTGTTCCAGTCAGACCCCAAAGCTCTGGAAAAGTCCCCAAACCGGGGTGCCTCAGTGGCTCAGTTGGTTGAGCATCCAACTCTTGGTTTTGGCTCAGGTCATGATCTCAGGGTCATGGGATCAAGCCCTGCGACTGGCTCTGCGTTCAGCGTGGAGTCGGCTTGAGATTCTCCCTCTCTCCCTCTCACCCCTATTTGCACTCCCTCTCTCTCTAAAATAAATAAATCAATCAAAAAGAAAAGAAAAGTTCCCAAACCAAAGCAAACTCCATTCCAAGTGGTGTACCTCATCCCTGGTGTATCTTCTCCTGAAAAAATGCCTCAGATTCCCTCTGTTCAAAGTCCTACTTATCAAAATACAAAATGCTTGATAGAAGCTTTCTGAAGGTACAGACCTTCTGTTTTGGGGCTCCCCAGTGTCTTACCTATTCACATGAATCGAAAATCAAGAAAGAGGACAAAAGGGAGCTGTAGGAAGGAAGGGGGGAAATCTCTGCTTACTAGGGAAAGGAAAATCAAAACCACAATGAGATTCACACCCAATAGCGCTGCCGTAATCAAAAAGATTGACAAAAAAAAAGTGTCCAGGATGTGGAGAAATTGGAACTCTCATACGTTGCCAGTAGGAATGTAAATTGGTGCAGCCACTTTGGAAAATGGTTATTCACAGAGTTACCATAGGACTCAGGAATATCACTCCTAGATACACACCCAAGAGAATTGAAAATGTATGTTCACCTAAGAATGTGTACATGAATGTACATAGCAGCATTATTCATAATAAACAAAAAGTAGAGATAACCCAAATATCCATCAATGGATGAATGGATAAATTTCAGGTGGCATATCCATACAATGGAAAATTATTCGGTCATAAAAGGGGTTGAATTACTGACACATGTCACAACATGGATGAATCTTGAAAACATTATGCTAAGTGAAAGAAACCAGACACAGAAGGCCATCTATTGTATGATTCCATTAATGTGAAATGTCCAGAATAGGCAAATCTATAGTGACAGAAAATAGGGTCGTGTTACCAGAGGTGGGTCAGTTCCATTTCACAGATGAGGAAATTGAGGCTCAAGAGAAACTGAGTTCCACTATGCTCTCCTGTCTGTGTGGCTTTGGATCCATGACTTCACCTCTCTTGGAGCCCTAGTTTTCTCAGCTGTAAAACAGAGATAATGATGTGCACCTAGGAAGGTGGTTTTACATGCTTGGTATTTTTTAGTTCCTTTTCTCTCCGGCCTTTGGGTGGAAGCTGGTGGGGTTTAATGGTTAAGGGTGCCACCTAGAGGTTAACTCAGGCAACTGCCCCAAACCTGCAAGGCTA